GCCTGCAATAATAGCTACCAAACAAGTATCGACATGGCTCCGTACGAGATATTGTATGGCCGATCATACAAATTGTTGATCTGTTTGGAAGAGATGACTGATAGAAAATTATTCGGTATAGATCTTGTAGAGAAGACTACAACAAAGATAGTTAAAATAAAAAAGAACATTCAGACAGGTCAGAGCAGGTAAAAAAGTTCTGCAGGCTCCCGGATGAGGGATCTAAAATTTGAGAAAGGTGACCTAGTGTTTCTTAATGTCACTCCCTTTAAAGAGATCAGTAGGTTTGGTACGAGGGCAAAATTTAATCCCCGGTTCATTAGACTATTTGAGATCTTAGACTGGATCGATATGATTGCCTACAAAACTATCACTACCTCCAGAGCTATCCAGGGTTCATAATGTATTTCACGTATTTATACTACGCAAGTACAACCCAGACCCTTCACACATCCTATCCCACGAGCCCCTTTCACTCAAGGAGGCTTTATCCTATGAAGAGGTACCGGTAGGCATTAAACACTGAAAGAGTAGAGTATTCCGTAACCGAGAAATTTCATTCATCAAGGTACTATAGCAGAACTATATGTAGGAAGAGGCTACTTGGGATCTTGAATCAAGCTTCAGGGCCCAATATCCCCAGCTGTTTGACTAGCAAAAAGGTGACAAATTTAAGAGATCAAATTTCTTTTAAGGAGGGAGAGTTGTAACACCCGGACCCAAAAATTGGCCCAGTATGATGTTTACGGATTATGAATATATATATAATTATTAAAAAAAATTAATTTAATTTAATTTAATTTAATTTTTGAGAAAAAACGAATTAAAGACGAAATTATAAATAATTTTGGGAAGAATGAGTGAAAATTTGAGTTCGGGTGGTGTTTTTTCAAAAAAATTAAAAACAGGAGGTCAAAATGCAATTAGAGAAAGTTCGGCCATGTAGAACTGCCCAATCAACAGTCTCGACGAACTAGAGCGCACCACGTGGCCAGACCCACTGACGTTGACGCCATCGGACGGTTCAGGATCTTTCTCGCATGCGTGAACAGTCCGGATCCACTTCTTCCTTAGGTGCGATCGAACGGTCGAGATTAAATGCGATAAATGGTTCAGAATCGTTTTTCCCTTAGGCGTAATCGAACGGTCGAGATCAAACATAAGAACA